ATTATACATGTAACTCATTGTCTTTTCCCTCTTATAGTCTGAGGAGTATTTACGTGTGTATCCTCCATATATAAATTATTTTGAAGTCACTAAGGAGGCTCTCAGTTCCTGTGATCGTCAGTTCCCAAGGTTTCATGCTTTCCTTAAGTGTAATGAGTCCAAACCAGAGTGTGGCCGCCAGACACTATCAGAACTACTGATAACACCAGTACAAAGAATACCAAGGATCATATTATTACTACAAGGTACATGTATATTATATAAATACTAGTATTTACATGTACTGTACATTGTAATTTAGCTGATGTTGGGTAAGATAATTCCCTCATTTTAATAGCCTTTTTCCAAATAAAGCCCATCATTTTGAACTATATATGCACATGTTCAATGGGACATGTGAATATATATTAAAACCTGCCAATCACCGAAAATTAAGCAATGCACCAAAATTTCATCTCTCAACAATTACAATGGTCACTGTACAGTGCATCTACATGCATGTACATGTACATGCATGTACATGTACATGTAGGTGTGTGTTATTTATTATTATTGTTATAGATTTATTAAAGCGTACTGATACTGGCCACATTGATTACAAGCAGTTGGAGGAATCAGTTGAAAAACTTAAGAATGTAATGGAGTGAGTTATACATCACTACATGTACATGTATTTTATTGGCCTCGCCCAGCTTTGCGCAGGCGAGGACTAGGTACTTGGTTTGTCTGTCTGTCATTCATTCATTCTGTGTGCTATATTTTGTCTTTGAGAATGTATATCTTTATAATCGCGTGCTCTAAATCTGTGAGAGCTTCTCTTCTGTTAGGAAAAGTCTTGCTTTACTGCCTTGAGATGTTTAGAGAGCAGCTCTAGGTAGCACAAGCTTTTTATCTCACAAGAAAATGCCCAGCAATAGCAGTAGTACTCTGGAGGTAAATGAGACTCTTTACCAGTAGATCAAGACTAGTTATTCTTTTAATTTGTGTGGAACTCTTTAAATCTTTCTTGTTGGTGAGTTATAGCTACTCGAATTTCATCCCGAGTGAAGTGCTGTAGCAGTTAGTTCACTAATCTAAGGATCCTAAACTCTCTCAAGTCACTCAATCTATCTAGGCAACAGTATTTGTGCCATTATAACATCATATAGCGCTTAGAAGAAGAGAAGAAACCTGAAGCTTCCCTCTCACATGGTCTTGTTGCATTATTGATAATTAATGCCACGCCTCCAAGCAGGACCAAGCTGGGAGTTGGCTCTGGAGCTTGCCACTTTTGCAAGCATGCAAGAGCATAGCTAGGAAGTGATAATCTCTACTAATGATAATCCCTTGGCCTCAAGAGCTCACTTTCTAAATTTTTTGTATAGTATGTTTTTAATAGATAGTGACCACAACAAAAGCTGTGGTTTTGATGTATGAGTGCAATAAGTATAAATATAGTATACTGGCTTAGGCTAGCTAAGCTGAACACCTCCCAAACAGCTTTAGGGGCGAGGCCATGCACCTTTGGTGTCTTGTTTATTTATTATTATTAATTCTTCTAGACACATAAATGAAGACAAGAGGAAGACAGAGAAGCAGATGCACATGTTTGAACTTATACGGGACATTGAGGACGTCCCGGTAATTAGTGGGTGTGGTCTTTAATAACTGACTCCTCCCCTTTAGGCAACAGTCCTTTCATCTCATCGTTGGTTTATTTCAAGACATGATGTGTTGGAGTTAAATATTAGCAATAATGGAAAGACTAATAAACCATTGTCTATAGCATTGTTCCTCTTCTCTGACAGCATTGAGGTGAGATAGAGGAAGTGTCTCATTTTTATATGCTAATTTCACCTGTACTGTAACCTATAGTTTTTCCCAATAAATGGCTCCGAAATCACCCCAAATTTTTATTACATTTTCTGATACATATTGATGTCCTTATGCTGTGTAGCAAGTTTGAGCTAATTCCAACTTCAATTTTTTGAGTTATAGCCATTTTAAGAAAATGCCAAAATCCTGAAAAATACCCTGTACTATTGGATGGTTTTATTAATTAGTGTCCCTCCCTCCCTCTCTCCTACAGATTGCTAAGATAAGAAGTGGTCATGGTTTTGTTGCTATGAAGGACTCATACAAACCATACAGGTACATGTACATGTATTTTTAGT